CTGCGTTTTGAAACGGGTTGGTCTTCCCCCCTGGGAGTCAGAAGCGAACTTCCTGGTGTGCGAAAGGAATTGGTTGTAGGCAAGAAGAAGGCTGCATTCAAGTGATATGTTGGAAGCAGAGAATCTTCATCTCGAAGGTTAGGTAACAACGGAATCAGTACCCAAAACGAAAGCTGATTCCTGCGAAAGTTCGGCAAATTGCTGGAGTCGAATTTTCTGACTGCGAACATGGTATGCCGGGGGACTATCCTCTGCCTCCAAAATAGAAGGAAGAGCAGTTTAAGATTCCTTAATGACAAGACTAGATACCCTTTTACCTTGGATGAGGACATTCTTCAGTGATGGAGAGGGTACTTTGAGGAACTCCTTAACCCTGAGGAACCGCAGGAAGACTCACAGGAAGAGCATCAGGCAGTGGATATTAGTCTTTCAAATGATGAATTACTAAAACTGTGAAACGCTTTAAGGTAACAAGGCTGTATCGATTAAATCCGCCCTGAGATGTTGACAGCTATAGACGAATTGAGCAGACTGTGGCTAGCACGTGTCAGTCAGACTTCAATGGCTATGCGGTAGATACCAGTTGATCGGAGGACAGGGTTCTCTATTCAAGAAGGAAGAACATATGGAGTGCTCCAGTTATCTGGGCATTACCCTTTTGAGCCTCCCGAAAAAAGTGTACGCAATGGTGTTTGAAAGGTGTCACGAAATATCTTATTATGTGGTACAAAAACAGCAGTGTGGCTTCAGGTTAGGCCGAATCACCTCTGGCCAGATCTTCGGTTTACGCCGGACTGTTGAGAAACTGTGGGAGTTCACTTATCCGCTTTACATGCGCTTTGTTAACAGGAAGAATGTCTATGACAGGATCCAGCGCAACAAGCTATCATTGCGCGTGAAAACATATGGGAGCGATGGCCATCCATTCATTACGCGATGATAGTAGGTGCTGCGTCTGAGTAAATGGCGTTAAATCGAAGCCTTTCAGCGTTGACACTGGTTTCCGCAGAGGCTGCGTTCTGTCATCTCTCCTATTTGTGTTGTACATAGAATGGTCAGGCACAGCCAGGAAGACGAGTGTATGAGCGTAGGAGATACTGAGGTCAAAAATTTGCTGCTTGTAGACGACCTTGTTCTGTTTATGTCTTCTGAAACTGATCTACAGCTCTCATTGAAAAGGTTCGCATGAGAGTGAGACGTGGCCGGCATGCGTACGAATATGTCTGAGACGAAAAGCCTAGTGCTTTCTCGCTCTTCTGTCCGTTGTTCTCGTTATATAAGCGGTGAGGCAGTGGACCATATGGAAAAGTTCATATACCTCAGGGCCGTGTCTGCTAAAGAAGGAAAATTAGAAGAAGAAATCGATCGGCAAATTGGAATGCCTACGGCGTTTTGGGTGGAATTTGTCTAAATCATTGGGTCTGAGACATGGCTGAGTCCACAGACTAAGCCCTTTATGTTCAAATAGATCTTCATCGCGATGTTAACGTACAGCCATGAATTATAAGCCATGACTAAAAAATTTCGATATCAGTTACAAACTGCTAAAATGGGCTGTTTGGGACGAATCGGCTCTCGCTTCTCGACATTGTCCGGAGTATAGTTATCCGCGACATCTTTTGCATACAGCCGCTGTTTCTCCAGATATATAAATCACAGCTCTGATGGTTTGGGTACGTCTTTCGAAAGGATGGTGAAGTGGTCATTATTTTCCCACCTGACTGACTGAAGACCACAGCGATGGCTAAGATTGTTTTGTTCTGCGTAAACGCAATCGCTGACACAGGTTCGAGAACACTTTCCTTCGCAACCGGAATTGATAAGCGGTCATTGAAACTTACTGACCAACTCTGATTATTAAGCAAATTTCGCTGCTATAGCAATGCTCTATTCTTCGTCATAAACCAATTTGCACAGGTCAGATTATCTTTCAGTACGTTTATGACCTGTCAGCGGTCCTCGTGATAGAAGTGTTGTCTACACATTTCGACTAATTTTCGAAGTCAAGCTAAACAGTGCTCATATCTGTTAGTTCTTATGAAAAATTTCTGAGGCTGCTGCTCATCAACACTTGTTCATTCGTAAGCCAGTGGTAACATCAAACTTTGAGCATACTTTTAGTGAATGTTGTTTAGTTCTATTGAGAGGAGCTTTGTGACACCGGAACGGCCGAACTTTACAAATTGTGCATGAACACCGTTGATATGGCTTCTAAGATGACGATCTTCGTAGTCTACAGTTTGATCATTCCAACTTGTCAACATTCACTGATTTCATTCTAGTGCATGTGTCGCTTCAGGATGAGTTCCGTCCTCATTAGCCAAGACTGCTTCGAGTACTTAAAATTGTCCATTTCTCAATCGCAGTACTACAGAATATCTTCCTGCCTTTAGTCGCGGCATAAGTTCAATTTTTTGTGGTTTTAACGTTTCCTTGTAGCCACAGCGGACTGTTTGGGTACAATATAGCTCATTGCTTTTGTCTGAGAGAAATAAGCGTTTGTTGACGTGTGTATGCTTTGCGCTTTGTAATTTCATTACTGTACTTACAGCTGATAGGGCAGTTTATAAACAGCCGATCTTTGTACATGAGGGGTGTAAACGAATCTCCATTGTGAAAGAAGTCTTTGATTTTGTTTCACTTAAAAGTCAGGTGTTGCTTAATCGCTGGATAGTTGAACCCGCAGTTGAAGATAATGATTTCAGATTCTATAGAAGTTACTCTCTCCCTTTTTGGATGCAGGTAAATGACCCCCGGCGGATGGGAACGAAGTTCTTTTAGTTATATCTTTTCAGAGGAGCAACTTTTAGGGGTAACAGGTTAGAATGGAGAAGATGATCGGAAAATGTTCTAAACCATTAAAGCCTGTAGGAACGTAAGTGTTGTACAATAGATTTTAGTATTTGTGGATAAACTTTTTAGGGTAGCTTTCTTGTGGAATTGTTTACGCAGAGTAGCAGTTTCTTTCGAAAGAAGTTTTCACCGTTGCTTAGCCAATGACTGTTTTACTCATGTCGGGTTTACCTATCCTATTGTTAGTACTTATTTTACCCATCTCAAATTTGTTGTGTTGAAATGATGACAAGGTATTACAGTTGTTTTTATTGGTTTTGTCCTATAAATTTTGTTTTAGATAATTAAAGATCGATACGGCTATAGTGAATGGTTTGTCTACATTGATATTCGACTTGCCTTGGCTGCAGTGGCAGTCACTTTCGCTTTTTTCGCGGTTATTTGGGACTGGTTGTACCCATTTCCGCAGTCGTACACGGTTCTGCTGACTTGTTCTATCTCATATCCTTTTGATCATTCGTCTGATGCGTGAAATCAATCTTTTCAGACTGAAAGTAGATGAACTAATTATCTTGGCATTGTGGCTCTTCTTAAAGGAGGTGCAGTTCTGTGAGATGGTCAGACGTCTTTGAAGAAATCACTTTCTACCAATGTAGTGAAACAGTACTTTATAACAACGTCCCTCCCCAGTAGAGAAAGTATTTCAGCCACAGCATGGATTAAACATGGTAATTTTTATCAGTCGTTTTATTCTTGTGCATTTGAGATCGCTGAGCAGAATTAGTTATTGTATGTTTTCTTGCTTGAATGTGACTCTCACTCGTCTCGCTGTTTCGAGCCCCAAAGTGTAAACAGAACATTGCCCATATGAAGTCAACTAATCAGAAATATTCAAACACTCCGTCATTATCAGGCAGCAGCTGTGTCGCTGTCTTGTACTCGGACTTATGATCTTCATTTTCGCCCTGTCATTTATTTTCTTGTGTTCTTTTCTTCTTTTGGGCTGTTTAGTTCGACTCTTTTATTCTCTTTTTTGATTGTGTCAGGTGTTCCGTCAATTCATGCTTCTGTTTTTTATGACAGTCTCCAGTCATTTCTTTTTGGGAGCCTCGGTTTCCAGTTTTTTTAAATTTTATCAGGTTGCTGGTTGTCATCTAACTCTTTTCATTCGCTTCGTTTTCAGAACGTTCTACGGATAACCTTGTAGTAAATTGTCAAGTAGAGTTTTGTGAAAACTACAGAATGTGGAATATTTATGCAAAACTCAAACAGTATTCGCCCTCTGACCGTGTTTCTGTCACGTCACTGTCATTGTACGGCATGGTGGCAGTTATTGTAACAAAGGAGCGAGAACGACGGTTGAGCTGCCTACAGTAGCTTCGCCTTCGGCGCATAATGGGGGTTAAATGGCAGGACCACATAAGGAATCACTCTATTCTCCTCCGGGCAAAGGTGGCCACAGTAGATGTGGTTGACCTTTTTAGACACGCTGGTTGAGCTTCTCCTGTGTTTGCCAAAACCCGTCAGACGTGGACCAGGAGGCCAGCATGCAACTTTCAGGAACAAGGTAAATGCAAATCTGCGTTCAGAGAGGAATTTTTTTCTGTGATGCAATGACCGGTGCTTTATAGCAAAAGTGTTGGAAAGCTGTGGATACAGCGGACATCACAAACCAAAGACGTTCTGCTTATGTAGATGACTCAAGGTGATGATCTCAGTAAACAGCAAACAGATAATGTTGTCAGTCAGATGATTTACCATTACGACATTTCTTTCTTCAAGGTAGATAGGGTTGATTTTATAAATTCTTCTCTCAGCTACTGTAACATTTGGATCCCGAAGACGAGTAGAGTAATGAATGGATTCGTTATTTCTCCTGAAATCTTTCTCTTGATGATTTTGCGACTTTACTATCGTGGAACTCTCGTACATTTTCTGACACCCCTTTTTGGTTTGCTTTCATCTATTACACTGATTTATGTTACATCCTTTTCATCTGAAAATTCTTAACTCGAAGTTAACGTATTTCGCAGTATCTGCTGTTCTGCAACTGTACACACTGTTTGTGGAGAAGTCGATATTTTTCACGGCAGTCGATCGTAAATCCGGCGGAAAAGACCAAGACGTAGTCTGGTATTTTAGTTCGAGAAGCAAGAAGTATGCATTTTGTATCTTTAATGTCGTTCCTCTGATTGTTTTCTTTCTAGATACAGTGACTTGTATAAGTTGGAAGTAGCGTTCAAAAGTAAAGGTGCTCATGGCTTTGCAGAATTGGAAAAGTCTGTATCGAACTGGATTACCGAAGCTGGAGAAATATCCCTCAGTGCTTTAGCTAATGACGTTTGCAAGCTGCACGATTCTCTGTTGGTAGAAAAGAAGACCAAGTGATTGATTATTGTTTGCTAGATCTTTTAACCTGGGTTCCATGAATTTTTTTGTATGTAATAGCAGAATAAATTGTTTGCTTTGGATGTACTCTGAATTTTTGCAATTTTGCCAGTTAAGCACTTTCATACGGTAACTTTCACTGTCTTACGCCGAAATTGCTGAAGTTGGGCAGCCTTGAATTTGTGTTAGCTTTGCATGTTTCGTTGTTCGATAATGCAATAACATGATTTCACGACTTACTTTCTTATCCGTATTTCAGAAGTTAGTTAAAGTATTACATTAGTCTTGGGACAACGTCCTTTAAGTCAGTTTTTTGAAATGGCTATATGTTTAAACATTTGCGACGATGCTGGTGTTAAAGATATAATGCTGCTGAGTCAATGGTGCGAATAACTAATTTTGCATGATATTTAGGAAATTACGAGTCATTAATATGCTAGAATACACAGTCGTATGTCTTATGAGCGGTAACAGACTTAATTTAAAATATTGTTACGTCATCCCGTGTAAAGAAAGTATGGCACCAGTTCTGCGTTTGCATGCATTTCGCCGATAATCGTCTTTCGTTTTTTTGTTCGCTTTCAAACAGCGTTTTCCTTTCATTCGATGTCATTTCAAACCAGCATATGTTAAATTCATTTTTTATTCATTGTGTCAGAAATTTTATGGCGAGCGTTTTCTGAGAATCGAAAGAAACTGAAACAGTTGTAATCGTCTGAATATCGATCTTACCTGTTTAACGACTGGTGTACTTCATGGCACCCGATTTTCATGGATTTTGTAAAAGCAATATTTTAACGACAGATAACGTGTAATCTCTGGCTTCTTTTACGTACATTACTGCACGGTAAATGCTTCTCAGTATGATGAAAGTTTAAGGATCGCTGTCAAACTACCAACCTGTATTCCAATAGCTGTTTCGGCTTTCATCTGACCGAGTTAACACGTTAACCAAGAAGACCGATTAGTAGCAGCAGATTAGCTAAATATGCGCAGTTGGGACGACGAGTGTGTCAACAGAAATTGTAGAGACAAGCTGAAAAGTTGCTCTATGCAAATAACCGTGTTTTGTTCGCATCTTCCGAAACTGATCTCCAGCGCTATGAAAAGTTTCACAGCGGAATGCGACATGGCCGGTTCGCGTATGAATGTGTCTAAAACCAAAAGCCTAGCGCGTTTTCATTCTCTTGAATTTTTCGCTCTGCGGATAAAGGAAGTTAAGTGGAGGAATTCACAGACGTCGAGGTCCTGTTTACTCATGATGAAAAATCGAGATAGATAAGCGAATTGTAGTGGCCGGTGTGAAACTACCCGGAAGCCGTTGCGACAACGGCAGAGCTGATTCTTAAGAATAATCTTTCTGTGTTATAATCTGTCTTCATCGCAATGCTCCTCTTCGGTCATTAATCTAGACCATAAATGAATAACCTCGATCTCTGGTAAAAGCAGTTGAAATGAGCTTTCTCAAACAAGTCGCTTGGCTCATGCGTATCGATGTGGTCAGTCCGATAGACTTTGCTGTACAACCGCTGCTTCTCCCGATTGAGAATTCACAGCTGCAATGGTTCAAGCACATCCTGCGAATGCTTGCAGAAGTAAAATGAAACAGGCACCACTCAATCAAACGGCCGATGGTCTCGGCGACAGACAAGAATAACCTAAGGGTTCTGCTCCAGATTTTGATCTTCTGTAGAAGCTCAAACGTTGGCACAGGATCAGAAGTATTGACGACATTGTCTGATGCGATTGCCTCCGTGACCTGAAATGATAAGCGGTCATCGAAGCTAATTGAAATATATGACTCTTAATATCATGAAATACAAAACGATATGAATTAACAGACATAACATATGTGATGGGGCCGGAGTTACCGGAGCATCGTTCGCCATCTCGATGCATAGCACCGCCCACTTATCGAACACCATCCTTCCAGAAACAGAAAATAATGTTGACAATCACCTGCATATTGCAAAGGCTCCACTGGACAGGTGTTCTAAGGCGGCAGAAAATGGAAAATAAATGACAAGACCTTGTCAAAGTGTCGACCTGGAATGCACTTGACGGCATCACCGGAAGAAATCAAATGTTTTAAGTGATATGAAGCCAATCACTGTTCTAGGCTAGGCGACGTTTCACTTAAATTACTGCGATAACTGCTACAACGTCTGGCAAAGGCCCGCACGACTCAGCTAGATGCCAGCATATTTTGCCCATCAGCATGTGCATCTCGGAGAGTGTATTTTAAATTCGCTTTATGCCTGCTATGAACAGTTTTTGATCACTGAACAAGCTCGTTTCCCCCAAAGGCACAACGCGTAGGAGACACTGCTGGTGCTTAAAGCTTTTCTCGAGAATGGCCTTCAGAAGAATCTGGAAACGGAGATATATTCCAAGATTTGAAATCAACTATGTAGCACGCTGTTTTGCCTTGTCATACTTTCCTGACTGCTACAAAACAGGCAGTTCATTCCATCGAATTCTTCCTTAGAGGTCACTTTTTCCGATGGGAGACTGAGTCAATTCATTGCCTTGCAAAGAAATGTCTTACCCAAAATGATCTACCGTGATTCCCATTCTGTTCAATTTGTACATAAATGACATCTTGCCAATCAGTGCTTGCAGGTTCATATCTGCCGACGAAATCTGCAAGACAGCGAAGTAGGATTACTTTCCTGTCAAAGGGAGAAATGTTTTTAAAATGATGATAGGGTCGGTTGAGCGACTGTTGCTACCAGTTCGATTCCGAATTGGAAAAAAATCAGTTTTGAATCTCTATCTTTAGCAACGCCTACGCAGCTCAATCACTACACGTGTCCCAAATGGTTGGGAAATGTAAAACCATTCGTATGTGTATCTTGGTGACGTATTGGAGCGTACGTCGCCCTTCGGCAAATAATATGCTTTAGACCTTGGTATAATTTATAGCGAACAGACTCATCCAGAAGCTCACAAAAATTATATGGTGAGCGAATGTTGACACATTGCAGAAATCTATCTACGCACTCTGCCACTCGTCGGCTGAAAATTGTTCGACGGTTTGTGCTCGGTAATCCTACATCAAACGGACTGACAAACAGGACCTAGATTTTACCGTCACAGACACCATCAATGGAAGTTTCATGCTTGATAGTTCTTAGCAATATCTCCAGTCCTCAAACGCTATCGGGATTCCCTGCTGTTAAAATGATAATTAAAATTAAGTCCTGTGCCTAACCGCAATGCTAAATTACTTTTCCCGCTTGCCAGTCACACGAATATCTTTCTCACGGACATTAAGGGGGACAAGGCAGCAATCAGGCATGCATGTCACTCCAATCACACAACGGCAAGGGCATGGATATCACTGACAATGATAAATGGTGATACTGATACTATGATGTAATAAATGATCCAATGATATTTTGGTTGAAGACTATCATCTGATCCGTCAGCCAGGCTTCAGTTTACCACACAGAAACTGTGTTGCTAAATCGACGTGGTATTGATCGATATCGGTGTACGCTATAACATTACTTCTGGGGAATATGAAAAAGCTGCATTTGAGGCTGTGGCCAGTCGCAGTCAATGTCCAATGCTGGTAGTGAATTCTTTGTGACGCGATTCGAAGTAGGCTTGATAACCTTGAACTTGCCTACTGGTGATGCAGCAAATCTGTTTCACTGTTTTTGCGTTCGATCAATAAATATGAATGCTTACCTCTTGCCTAAACCTAGTTCTTAACTCCTACTTGCTTCAGACCTTCGTTGTCGTTGTAAAAGTTCTAAGTTAAGGCCATGCTACATCACGTAATATGCAAAAGTTTCTGGTAA